TCCTAATCTGATAAGATAAGGCAACCTAATAAGATAAGATAATCTAATCTACTAACTTAATAAGATAAGAATAACAAGATAGTATAATCTAATCTGCCGAATGGATAAGACTGTTGCTGCCGAATTGGATAGGATGAGAACACCGGATCATTGCTGCTGCTGCTCCCAATATGCGTCCACATCATAGTCAAGCTAAATTTAAGCCTTTATCTGTTTGGATTTCTTGTTTCCATTTTTACCTTTGTAGATTTCTTTCTGAAGATAACAGTAGCAAGAAGCTTGAGATAAACCATATACAAGATATTTCAATTTTTTTGGACAAGCTTTCAACTTAACTGTTTTTTCAGTTCTATTTGTAGGAAGAAGTAGCCATTGGAGAATATGGTTCAGAGGAATTCATTGCAGAACTTGAACCCCATAGTATCTTTGGCGAAGTTGCAGTGTTGTGCAATATCCCACAGCCATTCACAGTTCGTGTCTGTGAACTATGTAGACTTCTACGAATTGAAAAGCAATCTTTGGCTAGCATCTTGCAACTTTACTTCACTGACAACCGCCAAATTCTCAATAATCTTCTTAAGGTATGTTTAGATTGAATTAGAATTAGATCAGAATTAGATTGTTTTTTCTAATATATCTATATGACCCATATTTCAACACTTTCCACAATTATCTCTCTGACATAAAGCGAATTTTGCATTATTTGCAAAGTTGACTGGGTAATGACTTCCATTTCATTAAATTTGGATACATGAAAGTTCAAGCCTATACAGTTGATGCAAACCAGGTTGGGTTTATTATTGACAGGAGTCTACGCCAGGATATTTTACATTTTTTGTGGCAGTCTACTTCAAAGAATAAGAAGCAGTCCATTGTGACGAGGTCTCATGTAGAATTCGAGTACTAGGTTATAGAACATGGTGCTTTTGAGTTATTATGGTTAAAATTAATAACTCTTCTTCATGAGCTAGGGTGCTTATCAGAGGGACCAATGAATCTCTCTTTACTAGCAAAGCCACAATTAGAATCAGTAGGGCTGCAACTTGGGTGGGCCCAATCAGAGCATTTGCACAGGTTGGACATGAACTCTTGGGATCCATGCTGTTCTTGATCCTGAAAACTCAAGTTTCGCTTGAACTCTGCTTGCACTTGGGCTGAGGCCTCAGCTAGCACAAGCCCAGGTCAGACCAATTAGAGCAGTCAATTAGTTAATGTACTCACCTTGATCTATCCACCCCCATCCCATGAACTAAATTTTTTGTCATTTGAAGATCTCACCAAGGATTGCTATTTCAAACAAAATGGGACACATAAGGATGAAGCCCATTCAGATGCCAACTAGGCTATGTCTATTACTGACAGGAGGTACACTTTAGGAAACTATACATTTTCTGTGGTAATCTGACTATGTCAAGGTATAAGAAACAATTCCTCATCACAAGGCCCCATGCAAAATCCAAGTATTGGGCCATGGCACATGGAGTTTGTGAGTTGTCATGGTTAAAATACTCTTCATGAACTAGGCTGCCTAGTGGAGGAACCAGTAAACCTCTATTATGCTAACAAAATTGCAACAACATTTCTCAGATTGCAACTTGGGCAGGCCCTACCTGAGCATTTGCATGGATTGGGATTAAATTCTCAGAGTCCAAGCAGGGCCTTGGCCTGAAATCTTGAGCTGGACCTCAACTTTGGTTGTGCTTGGGTTAAGGCTTCAGCTAGCTCAAGCCCATCTTAACCAAACCCAAACCAACACCTCTTAACCTTCTATTATATAATTACCCATCCTCCTCATCATTGTCATCTAAGCATTGTCCCAACTTGGGGTCAGCTCCATGATTTCTATTTCATCATTATGTTCTGTCAGTGCCATATCCATCATAAAATTATGAGCCCTTAAATCTTTTCTTACTACAACCTTTGTCCTTTTCTCTCCACCTCTAGCTCTTTTAGCCCCTTCAACTTGTAATAGATCATTTCTTTTCACAGGTTTCATAGATGGTTTCTCTGTACATTGTTGAAATAATTTAGTTATTTGTGTTAGGGTCTGTTTGGCTAATTAAAGCGTTTTTTATTTTCTGTTATTTCTGTTATTGTACTCACTTACAGCAGGGGCACAAGAGTMTTTTCCCTTCTTATTTCTGCCGCCCTATATAATATAATAGAATCTGGCGCCGCCAGCACTGTTCCATTGCTCCAAACCTTTTTCTTCTTCATTTCTTTCTTCTTCTTTTCTCTCTTCTTCCCTTCTCTTCTCTACTTCCTCATATTTCAATTGGATTTATTGCCAAGGTGGTATCAGAGCAAGGTTGTTGAATCTGGGCAACCAAGTTTTTCTCTTCAAGTTGCTGAATCTAGGCGGAATAGAGGACTGAATCTGAGCTGATCAAATCAGATCTGCAACCGGTACAATCCTAAAGTTTTATTTCTTCTTTTATTTCTTTCCTTGGTCGTGTACCAAGTGGAGAACAAATGAATCCAAACCACTGAATGTCRGCAGACTTTTGTGAGGGTTATACCTTTTCTTT